TACCTTCAAATTCTTCTCATGTATTTTTCCCGTACACCCCCAAGCAGCCCCAGCTCGCGCAGCGATAGGAAAAAAGAAGCAAGCTACCCAATGCATAGGCTAACTAACCGAATTGTAGTCTAAAAATCCTACCGGTCCCATATCGAGTTCCTTGGGTTTTCGTCCACTGGTCTTCCTCGCTCCTCCCATGTACTGCGGGTTCAAGTCGTACGGCAGCGGCCCTCGCGGGTATCCAAATCCGGGCGGAGCGAGCGGGTTAAGACGATTGCCTGAAATTATTGAGGTCCCTTAACGGTTTTGACACTTAGGTTCTCAATTCTACCACATTCTATGTACATTACAACGGCGTACCTATGCTGCTCATTTGGGAATTATATTTATTCGTATTTGAACTGATAAACTTCCCTCGCTGGTCATTCATCCAAAAATCTCGCTGTGATGAGATTTGCAACGAATAAACGGTAATCTCACCTATAGCAGGATTTCCAATCGGTGATGTAAGTGGTGGCGCAAGCGTCGGAGAGCAGTTAGAGTCCGCCGGCGATTGTTGCGTGAACTGAAAGTAATTGCGAAATCAAAAATAATACTAGAAAACTGGAAAAACTGTAGAAAAGTCAGATTCTGCAGCAAGCCCTTTCGAAGGATCAAATCATTCTTGGTTCTCGCCCTATCAGGCCATGAGAAATTTCCCCTCCTGGACGGTTTTTGACATTATTTTTCATAAAAAAACCTCAAATCAAACTACACCACTCCTCCAGGTATTTTGGTGAAGCGAATTTCACGAAAACGTGCAAAGTTCAGGTACCCAAGTCCACCTTCAGAACTTGAAGTAAAAATGCAGTCACAAATACATGAAAAAGTGCTAACAAAATTCAGTGGGTAAAATTCTCAACTTCTCAATTCTCAACTTTGCTTTTCTATTCTACAATTGTATTTCGACGCCTAGAAGAAAATCGACGTTCCAAACTTCGTTTCAAACAGCAAAATAGTCCTAACTAGAATCGCAATTTGCAACTTTTGCTACCTGAAGTTTTTTAACAGCAGTGACGACTATCTTAACCGAAGCAATAAATACTGCTAAATTGGCTTGTGTACTGACATGACATCATTTATTATCACGCTCTGTGATTTTTCTACTAACTTTGGCGAATACTCATTTGAAGCAGATATTTGGAAAATTTGATGTAAAGCAGTTTTCGAACCGTGAAGATTTCGCCGAAGAGCAAGGAATTCGAAATTCATGCATAACACATGCTTT